AAAAGAGACCAAATCAATTTTGAGGAAAAAAAATTTTTTTAGCCAAAATACTGAAATGCAATAACCATAGGAAGCCACATGAATACATTTAATAGACACTTCTAAGCAATCTTAAGCGGGGGGGGTGGGGGTGGGTGGGTGAAGTGCTGCTTAATTATCTTTATATGAATTTTGACAGATAGTAGGCATCTGCATTATTCTCTCAATTTAAATGTGAAGTAATCATATGCAAAATTAACAGGACTCAAGATTACCAGCACAATCTTTACTAGGTGCAATACTGATACTGTAGAAGTACTCTGGGAAATAACAAGATATTCTGTGTCATAATAAAGGCATTTTTATTAGAATTAAAATGAAAAGCAGCTGAAGAGGAGGAATTAAAGAAGAGAAACATAATCTGCCCCATTTGCTTGCTTTTTAAATAGGACTTAGAGAATCAGTGGTCTAAGATGACCTTGGATTTCAGAAACACACAGCTACATGGCTGTAAAGGACCTTGCAGGACACCATGTCCAGTCTCCAGCTTTTGAAGGCACCGTACCATACAGAAATTTAGTGTTCTCCATCTTAATTGGGATTTTTGACCTACTGCTTCCATTGTATCTGTTTCCCACTTCAAGTCTCTACTTTCTCAACATCATTTTCTATGTAACAAGGTGCAAGTTTAGGGCAGGTTGGTTTCCTGTATTTTTATGACAACAATAAGTTTCTCACCTGCAGCTTAACTGTTAGTTTATGATAGACCCTGAAAAAAATCTTTTTGGTACTAGGAGATGAGCCACAACTTTTGTATGCAACATATCATAGTAAGCTATCATACAACATGGTAAGCTATCCTGGAGCAATCATCGTTAATATCTCCCAGGGGAGAAATATTTGCTAAGTGTTTCACTCAGAGAAAAAAGAGGCAGCCAGGACAAGTGAATTGACTCAGGTAGAAGAGAACCACCCAGAAAACGACTTGCTTCCTATACTACTTTTAAAAATTTAAATATTAATACTGCTCTTATAGTTGCTCTTTCCACTTTATTTCCCAATGCTGAGGACACTTCAGAAAACAATCACAATTAAGCAACATGTACATACATGTGTGTATGTCTTTATGAAAACATACATCTTTATCTATTCTAATTGAACTAGGAAATTTCGTTCCTTTAGCCCCCTCTCTCTCCTCCTGTCCTTCTAAGCTTGTAGACTGATATCTTTTACTACCCTTTTCTCATGGTTGCTGCCTTTGGCTATAATCACTTATGATACTACAGACGACTAAGTGAATAGGAGGTCTACAAGAATTTCTGTGTTGTTAATTAGGAGTGATCGGAGGCCTGAGAATATGACCAGATTCTTCAACTATCTGTACCATAATGTCCTCCAAGCTTCAGCTAAAGGTGGCTCCAGTTGCTAACTTTAACAGTATATGCTCTGTTGGAAATACACTGCAGAAAATATGCCCAGGCTGTCTTGCGATTTGAGCATAGCAACTATCCTGTTGTTTTTGCAGGACTACTGTTTTTGAATGAGATACATTAGAGAAATTTAACTAAGGTGGGTTGAGGAAGAATGTGTTGGGAGATGAAACGTATTCCACAGAAGGTTGTGAAAAAAACAAATCATAACATCAGAGGACCTGTAATTGAAGACCAGCTGAAATTCAAGGAAGAAGGAGGAAAGAACAAGAGATGGAGAGAAACATAGAATGCTAGCGCTTACACACACAAAACCACAGTGGAGATTCTGATGCTGTTTTTATCCTGTGCTTTCAGCCTGGACCAAAAGTAAGTTCAGCAACGTCTTTTCTTTATTAACTTGGTTGATTTGCCTACAAAAGGCCACACACATATCCTTCTATCAACCTGCTCTATAGACAGTAAAGTCACCTTTGATCCCAGGATATTTAATAAAACATTTCTGAAGCCAAATACACAATCCACCCTGCGAAAAAATGTATAAACACTGATAATTATTGAGAAAAGTACGGACATCAAAATTATCCAGCAAAAACTCCAGAAAGGACTTGTAACACACTGCTACTAATAGGGAAAGCTCAGTTCAGCATCTCATCGGAACAAATAGAGAACCCTCCTATTTAGCGAAGCAAATATCAAAGAAACAAAAAACCAAATTCTTCTAGAATAGATCTATTTAAGTGTAAAAAACAAATATATTGAGTGTCTTTCCCAATCAGGTATATTTAACATACAAATAAATAATATGCATTGCCTGACTGCAGGAAATACATATTAACATTTCAGGTTCAAATTTGAAACACAAACGTATATATCTCGCAAAGTCTTAAATGAATGCTCTACAAAATGCCATGCTACAACTCCAATTCTAAATTGAACCATTAAATTAAATAACAAAAGGCCCCCAAAATCCTTACTATGCTCATCTCCAAAACTGCCACTGACCAATGAAATTTGTAAAAAACGAGAACATGTATTATTCCAAAATGGGAAGCACTACCCTTTCTTGAGAGCACTGCAAAGACACATTTTTCCAGGGGAATACTGAAAAAAACAGTATAAAAATTGGAGACTAAGCATTTATTAGGATCCCAAGTCAGGCATAAGGGCAACGCAAGCACATTTTCCCTTTTCTCTCCATTTAAAAGGAGCACGTTACTGTCTTCTGGTGAGTGATGAGTAAGTTTTTATTTTAAAACCATTGTAATGTGAGGGGCATGCATAGGACACTGAAAGCTTTGGATATGTCATTCAAAATACCTCACTCATGCATGTGACAGGAAGAACAGACAGGAAACTGAAAAAGCGTAAGAGGTAAGAAATAAAAGACCCAGCATCCACTACCAAGTCTACCAAGTCTAAGATTGGGGACAGTTTTTAACTTCCTTTATATAGGAGAGCAAATAGAAATACAATTAAATAATAAACAACTATTAATTATCATAATTATTTTCAGAATTTTATGATTGCACATTATAATGCCATGTTTGTTAGATCTCTCATTTGTAGGAAATACAGCAAAACGGTTGTTTGACACAGGCCCTGCTTCATTTTGTCATGTAAAATCCATGAACTTTCATTTGAACATGTGCTCCAATACTTGTCAAAGAACAAATTCAAAGTTTTACTATTCATAAAACAGACAAGCACGAAGAGCTCATCAGTATAAATTAACACTGTGGAGTCCAAATCAAGCATTCAACAATTAGTGAATACTAGACTTTAAAGTTCCAGACACAAACTTAATCCTGCTCTAGAAACACTTTTGGGGCATGATGTCACTTGAATTTACCTCTTCCATTACATTTTTTGAATGAATTATTTTTAAACACCCTCATGTGATGGCCTAGCATGAGCAGGTTTTGGGATCTTTACTTCCAAAGCAATGACTTCTGAAACTAGAGTTAATTATGTCACTAGTAAGAATGCTACAATACTCTACAGAAGCCAGTCACTGAAAGGAAAAGAGAAAAATATTTTACAGGAAAAAAGTCAGTTTTTTGGAGCTGGCAGAGGATGAATGAGACTAAGGAATTGCAACTTCAGTTGGAGGTTCCAGAAGGTAACTGCTATCACTACATTGGGATCTGCCCACCTACATTACCCTCACTCTGCTTCTGCTCGTGCCTGTTCCCCATCCCTGATCCTCTCCAATGTTCCTTGCCCCTCTGTGAGCGAGGTCTCTTCTCCCTTATATTTTTTTTGTGTGTGTGTGCTGCTTGGGAGCCATGAGAAAATTTCCTTGCTGTCAGTTCTAGCACTTGGCATCACAGCATTCACTGACAGCTAGATGAAACACTTGCAAAGGACATTTTGCTCCAGTCCTGCATTTCAGGGATGATGGCTGCTGTCCCTTTGAGGGGAAGGCAGATCATGCTCTGTGCAGGTGAAGTCTTTGGAGAATTTTGCTGCCAACATCTAACAAATGTTTGTGGAATATATTGGAAATAGATACATTCTTAGATGCTTGAAAATTGTCCAACTTTGGGTGCACATTACTGGAAGGACCGAAAGCAGAGTGGCTTTTGGGATAAATTTAAGTTTCTACTTCAAAGCACATGAACGATCCAAATCTTCAGTGAAACAGTCATAAATTATTTTTTTAGCCCGAGTAAAACAACATATTCATTCTCTAACATTATACCTGAAAACAAGTGAGTGATTTTTCTGAAACCTCCAGTTTCAGCTGAGACATGCATTCAGCTTAAAAAAAATTCTGTTTGAAAAGTTAAATTTCAGCAAGGTGATAGGCAATAAATAACAGGATCTTACTAACTTTTTTACAGTCTCTTTACACATGCTTTTTTCCCCCCTCTCTCTGTATATTTACATATAAATGCAAATATGCAAGAATGATAATGCTGTGTGGATTATGAAAGTGCTTTCAAAATCTGAAAGAAGATATACAATTTTTAATAGTCATATGTAGAAAGTGATGTGAACATATTATTTTAAACTGAAGTAAGGTTTTAATGCTCTAGTAAACACTGAATTGGCTTTAATGATTTTTCAACCCCATTCAATGGTCACAGTTCAACAGATTCAAAACGTTAGCCTACAATACTTTAAAACATATGAAGCTGTTGAACAGGAATTTCAGTGAAAATTGCAACTCCTTGAAAAACACTGGCTGTTGAGATTCATGTGCAAAAAGACTCACTAAGCCAAAGGACAGTACAAGCTGTGGAAGACAGTGTAACCTCAGTTGTTCGATCTGGAGAGATAGAGCTAGGATTTAAGTAATTTTTTTTATTTGGAGAAATAGCTAATAAACAGAGAAGTTATGACTAGGATAACTGAAATCAGAGTGTCAGGCATCCAAGTGTGAGGAAAGTAAAGACATTATCTTGAAGGAGAAGGAGGTTCAGAAAAATGTTATTTTGTAAAAATTTTACATTCTCAAAATAATTTTCTTTTGGAAAAGAATGTCAAATGTGGCCTTACTCAGTGATTGGTTAATTTTTTTTTTCATTCTTTTATAATTTTTTTTTAAAGCTATCTGTCTCAAAAGCCTTAGAAAACATTTCTTACCTGTGTCCCAATAGTCTCCTGGAAGCAGCGCCCAAGCTGAGTTTTAACTGAAACAGGAAACATATGAGGAATGGGTTGTTGATTTGTGTAAGTAGTATGTCCTTTCTGGGTCTTCTGATACGGAAGACCTTGGTAAGAGACCTGTGGATGTACTGGCTGAGGTACTTTCACTTTTTGTCCTGTTGATGTGCTGTCAATTCTTGAAACTTGATGGATCTGAACTGAGGCTTCAGGGGGATGTTTCACATGGATATTCACTATGTTAGGAGGGAACTTCACTAAAATAATTGAAGGAAAAACAGATAAGAAAAATTGGTAATAAAATATGTCTAAAGATATCTTAGGCACCCCTAAGACATTTATTTTTTGTACCTTAGTATTTTTACAGAGTGCCTTAAAATGACTGAAATGTAAATGAAGCCCAAATTTGGGGGTTAGAGGGAAGGCTGAAAGAACGCACAGAGTCTCATTAACAAAGCAAGAAAATGAAAACTCTTCACACAGGAAAGAACAACATTATAGGATTGTAAAAACTGCTACATAAACATGGATGTCCAAATTGGCTGGTGTGACATTAATATTTGTGGTCTTACTGTGTAATAAGAATCCCATTCAAAGTTCCAGAATTTAAACTCTACTGGGTTATTTTTGGATATATAGTAAGCTTTATTTTCTCTTTCAGATCCATCATCTTTCTCTGGAAGACAGAAAAAGCTTCAGATTTCATCCCTTCACCTTTATATACCTGCCAAGTCCCGAGTTTGCCCCTGCAGGAGTTGCCAGCATCTCAACCATCTAAAATCACCACTCCCTTCACTGAACTTTGAATTCAGGATTTGGCAGATAAAGAGGGAGGAAAGGTTTTTCAGATACTTCCGTTTTTAAATAAAGTTGTAGTTTTAAGTCTGTGTATATAGATTGAGACCCTCCAGTCAACGTAATGTGCACAGAACTGTTTATGCCCCTCAATCCTCTTTACACTGAAACACAAAATGCCCTTTCAACATGTAACTCAAATTATTATTGGGGGGTGCAGGGCAGGGAGGAGAGGTGTGTAAAACATTTTATAGTTTTATAAGCTGCATAACAGTTAGCATTTACTGTGTCTGGCTGGGTCTCTCTCGACAGCAAGTATTGCACAGACTACTCAAGGCCAGCCAATCCATGGGATGTAACATTCCTTCCAAACATCAAGAACCAACAAGTATAATTTGACATACTTTCTCTATAATGCATACTGGATTGTTGAGTCTTCTGAATTGTCTCCTTGCCTCCAGGAGGCCAGGTTGTTCTTTAGAACTTGGTTAGGCATTTTCAGTTCTTATTTACAAATTTCAACCTCACAGCTCCACTTCCCAGGAAGTATATTTCATTTATTTTAGCTGTTTTAAAATTATATTATTTTGTAGAAATTGCTTTTGGTTTTTCACATTATTTTAATTTCTCGGGGCACTTTTTCAGTCTTAATTGGTCTCACATAGGAATTCCTTAAAAGAAACAAACATATTTTTACTCTGCTCTGCATTGTTTCATTTATGAAAATCTTCAACGTATTGCAGACAGAAACATCAGGAATAAGGCAGTAGAAAGTCAGCAAAATATGTCTGCAGGGACTTAATGGCTCTTCAGATCTTGCCTGTAGCAGAAAATATCCTTCAAGAAAATTTAGGCTACATGAGTTCTGTTACAGGTAAACCCACAAGGAAAAGATTCAGTCTTACAAGGAGAAGCAGTAAGGCCCTTTAAAAAGACTATTTAGGCTATTATTAAAAAGGCTAAAGGCTATTAGACTGGTTTTGCAGGGCAAGACAAGACAGCATAGTCTGGCTGTAAAAAGAACAAAACTCATCCCAACTTACTATCATACATTTTTATGTATGAGGAGAAATCCCTTCAACTATTTTCTCCATCGGATAAATCTCAAAAATATATTAGCCCTCAAAAGAAACCACTGAATTGGCTCCGCTTTAATATATCAATCCACCTAGGGATGTTCAGATGCTGAAAACATCAGATTTAGGCTGGTTCCTCCCATGTAGTATTATTACCACAATTCTCTCCAGGTCTTGGATCACTGCCTAGATGAGCTGATTAATTTTTGTTTCTGCCAGCCCTTTCAAGATGGATTGTTTTATTCTTTCCTTGAAAGAAATGAAACATTCCTCTCTCCACAATCCAACATCCTCATTTGGGCACGGAAAGAGAAGAAAAGGCATTGTGACTGCTGATGGTTCTGATGAGGACTTGAGGGTCAGGGAAAAAAAAAATATTCAAAAGGTCAGACTCTTTTAGCAATGAGAAACCCATCGTGTTTTAAGATGGCAACTCTCAATCTGAAAAACAACTATGTCTTAAAATGTTGGGAGGTTTTTTGGGTTTTGTTTGTTTGTTTTTATGGTCCACCATATTTTCTAGATAATTTGATCTGGAATTAAATAGTCACAGAAATAAATTACTGTTCTGCTAAATGTTTAGGTAATTATATGATCTTCTCTCACTCCTCCCCCTCCTCCTTTTTTTTTTTTTTTTTTTTTTTTTGAGTTAGAAAAGTTCTGCAGAGCTTTAGGAACTAATACTCCAACATGTCAGTGGAAACTATTTCCCAATGGACTGTGCAGCAGTCCCTAGAGAACAAATCCATTAAGATGACGGAGCAGATACTTAAAAGCATTTATAAAATACTGTGTTTCCAGGAGGATACTGTCAACACTTCCTTCACAGCTATACCCCTTTCTGAAAACAGAATTACTACATTAGGTTATATTTATCACAAACATACAAATAGTTTGGCCTCTTTTAGCAAAGTTATTCAGGAACCGGTTGCCAAGAACTGAGCCTCAACATCTTTCCCCCATTTTTTTTTTAACTCAGAACTAGTGATCTTGGAGAGGTAATTGTAAAATTACCCCTGACAATAAAAACCAATCTGTCAATTCAAACAAACAAAATTCACATTAGTTCATATGATGTGAAACTGAATTGCAGGGGTCTCTCCATATGGACAGGATTTCACCCAGATAAAATACTACCTAGAGTCATAGGACACACAGGGAACAAATTCAACACTTCACGGTCACCAGAACTTGTCACCTCACAAAAAAGTATTAGGGGAAACGGAAACCTGAAGCTGACTGAACTTTCTTTGGGCAAAATTTGATTAACATCACAGCTTTTCTAGTTTCTGATCCTCTGCCTTCTTCACAGCATTAGCAGTAGGAAATCCTTACCACTTTTTTCTACAATATTGTTACATGACCTGGAAAGAATGTTCTATTTAACTGAATCATATCATGGCCTATCTAGATTAAAAAGTTACCCACAAAATTAACTTATAGGACTCTACCAAATAATATAATGAAGATTAACACCGATTATATTTTTAGTTTTACATTAGGCTTATGTTGAAAGCATTGTCTCTTCCCTCCACTAGTAACCATGGAATCATGTGCAAATTTCTATCTAGGTATACTACAATTTATGGACTCTGCTCAGCCACATTCATTCTCTTTTTGAGCAAGTCTGCATTCCTGGAAGAAGACCCCTGCATTACCCTTTGACTCTGCAATCTGCACTAAATTCCACCATAAAGCTAAGTACTTACAAACTCTTTTCAATAGCACTGTCATTTCTTATTATTTCAGTCATTGAGCAAAATACTTTCCAGTCATTCTGCTGAGCTCCCAATTGTGGTGTCAAGCTTCAAACTATGTAGACAGACCACTATTGTTACTGGTTAGATTCCCAGAATTAGTTAATAAAATCAACTCCAAAGAAAAAAAAGAAAAATCTATCAAGAAAAACATTACCTTTTACACCTTGCTGTCCAGACATTGTCAGTGGTAATGTATGAGTAGAGTGGACAATTTGTGATCCTACAGCCTTGTTCACCTGTTGTGTGTGATGGTACAGTTTTGGAGTATTGGCAGTCTGCACCGGGATCTGACAAAGTTTACCAGTGTAATTAGGAGGGCACTGGCATTTATCTCTAGAACTGCACTGGCCTCCATTCATGCATGGAAGGTGGCAAATAACTGAAATGAAAACAGAAAGAAAAATTTTGTTAATTACTTCAGCTTATCTGACCACATATCACAAAGAAGTTGAGGAAAAAAGGAATAGGGTTGGAGCTCTTTGATCTTCTGAAATCTGAGGAACGACTATCCATCCAACGTGCGCTTTTAATGGCCTTGTGGCAGAACCACTTCCCTTCCCCTCCTTGGGATGTCTGCCTGGCTTGCACCTTCCTTCCATCACAAACCCTCCTTTTGGCCTCTGCCTGGTTTGCATCTTCTCTCCATGACAAACAAGGCAAGCACTTTCTTCCCTTAGAAATCCTAACTATTTTATTTCATTATACTATTAAGCAAGACGCTAAATTAATATGGTGCCTGGCTGCACCTCTTATTCACACTTCAGTACAGGTATTCTTATTTAGTCAGCCTCCCATTTCTGAAAATCCTGGACCACCTATGCTTCCCTGGAAGACTGGGAAAAACTCACCAGAGGAGATAAATTTTCCATTTTCACTGTAAACCTCGGTTGTTCTCTGGAAAACCATGTCTTACTGAGTATCTAGATTTTTGCTCAGTATTTCTCTCTCAGATAAAAAAGCTAATTTGTATACCCAACCCATGAAGATTATAAAAATACTGGGAGATGCTAATTCACACTCCAGTACAGGTATTCTTATTTAGTCAGCTTCCCATTTCTGAAAATCTCTCTCAGATAAAAAAGCTAATTTGTATACCCAACCCATGAAGATTATAAAAATACTGGGAGATGCTACTCAAATTATTTCAGAGACAAATTCCAAAGTATTACAATATTTTAACTCCAATATAAGCACAAGGGTAATTACTTCTGTGTCAGCCAGTACTTGAACAATATAAATTATCAGAAAAAACATGAAAAAGTCAACATCAAAGGAAAAATATCTCTTAACTCAGAGATACAAACAGTAATAGGCATGGTTCAGCACTTTCTAAAAATATGATGTGGGACTTTACAATCAACCATAAACTAGCTGAGCTGTCAACATTTTCAAGAACTAAATGATGTTAAAACAACAGGAAGAATACCACAAGTTTTTGTTTGAGACAAACTAAGGTAATTTTTTCAGAAATCAGAGGTTTGTGTAGAAATAGCATACAGTATCCATTTGTCAGCTTTAAGATAAGATTCTGACTGTAAAAATAAATAAATAAAAATCTAGACTTTACAGTAACTATGGCATTTGGCTGGATTGCTATTGCTTGCTCTATATTGAATTACAATAAAAATGAGAAATTGTACATAATGGAAGGTAATTAGGAACCTAGTGCTTTATTATTCCAAGTGCCGTAATCTCTGGACAACCACAGCCTATTGCTATTATTAATATCATAAAACGTCAGTATTGGAAAAGGAACCTGTGTGTTGTGTGTCGCAAGAAGACAAAGTAGGACATCCAGCAGCCCAAGGAGTTCCAACCCAGCTGCGTCATCCACTTGGCCCAGGCAGAGTGCTCAAGAAACGGCCTGGCTCGTCACACAGCACCCTCAGGTTGTATTGACAGGGTGTGGAACGGCAATGACTGATGGCCAGATAGGTCCACATAGAAATGTAAACAGCCGGAATTGGTTTTCCACTCTGTTCTGCAAATCTATATTTAATATTTTTCTCATCTTATCTCATATTTTCATTTCATATAAACTGACTAAAAGTACTTCAGCCTGGAGCACTGAGCTAAACGGCCTAGTTGACTTCAGAAGGCTACCCATGCCAGCACAGGACTCAATATTTTGTGTCCCAACGCTGTTGGGACTTTATCTGAGTGTATAAAAGATATCCTTACAGAACAGCTGTTCCTTCAGGGCAAAATGAAGGATTTTTGACCCCAGCAGTAATTAAAGCATGACAGCTATCTCTCTCTGGCACCATTTCTCCCTGAGCACCCACAAATGAGCAAGTTCACTGTAATGGCGACAACACACAAAGAATTTTAGGTACTCATAACGATCTCCCTGAGCAAGGTTGAAAGCTAAGGCGGTTTTCCTACAAAAGTAACATGGCACAATGAAACAGTGTAAAACAGCACTAAGGGGACAGCAATTTGGTGTTTGAAAGCAGTACTGTGAAACAAGGGCAAACAGAAAGTCTCACTGAGGAATTCCTTGAGTGCAAGAAGCCTATCCCATAGATTTTCTCCCTCCCCTCTCTAGCCTCAAGGCAACAAGGTAACATGGAAAATCCAGCTTTTAAGCAATATACGCAGTATTTCCACCAAAACAAATTAATTTCCTCTGAGCTCCTGTTCCTATAAAGCCGTTGGTGTCTGGCAGGCCCTGTCACGCAGGTATCTCTGCATTACAGGGTGCTCTTCAGGCCTTCCTCTCCTGCAGGAGCCCGCTGGGTCACGAACGGGCACATGAAAAGCTTTGCTTTCAAGCAAATGCAAGTTTGTGCTAAAAATACTGGGAAGGAAGATACCGATAGAAAAGAGTTCGTTCACGTCCCTTTTCATAACTGTTTGCTGTGGATATTCAGACAAATAACTTGTGCAAATAAGTGCAAACAAAATGCCACTGAAAAGTCTAGCATGAGGTAAATAATGAAGAATGTTTAATTTCTCAGTTTTTACAAATAACAATTCCAAGCTGCCTACATTATCATGTGGCGCAAATCACTCAGTCAACTGATTTATGTACAGATATATTGATTTACATCTCTTGAAGGTCTGGCCTAATCTATAAGGAATTCTAAGAATATAAAATTTTGTAATAAAAAATTCCAAATTTGGAAATATACAACTATAAGTTATACTAAGCCATATAAAAACAAATAGGATGCGATCGCCAGGCTAAACTAAAAACTGAATCATCTTAAATGGCAATTATGAAAACTTAACAAAAAAGGAAGACTGAAACACATTGAAATAAAATATCTGATAATTTTAAGTACGTATAATAAACACATACACTACTTGCAATGTTTCCTCAGGTAGTTTATGGACAGGAGAAAGGGCTACATTTGATGACGACATCAGTTTTGTAAATCACAGGCACACAACTTCACCGGAGCTGGAATTACACACAGACCATTTGAGAAAAGTGAGCTGAAGTGGGGTAAGCCTCGGAAAAGGTAGAGGAAGGAAAGTCCACTTTTCCTCACTCTGGGAATCTCACGTTAACAAAGACCAAAAAGCCCTGAGGAAAGGACCACTTAAGATAGGAACAGGATATAAAGCCAGGGTATGTTTGAGCAGCTCAACTTTTGATGCAAGTTTTTTGCTTTGTTTTGTTTTGTCATTGAGGTTAAAGAACTTAAACAGAATGGCTGAACGCTGTCAGAGGCATAGGAGACATTCCCGACAAAAACCAGACCCACGTGCTGGGAGACACCATTAGAAGATACTGGGTTTGCACTTATGTTCACAACCGACATTCAGACAAAGGGCACACTGGAGCCTAATTCTCACTGGGCTGTTGCCATTTCCTCTGAAAAGGAAAAAAAAAAGGAAATAAAACCTCTAGCTGCTCAGAGACTGATAAAAATGTGGAGATAGGTCTACACAAGATGACAAGAAATTTCAGTTCACATGTGAGTATCTTACAAACAAAACAGAGAAAGTATTAATGGACCTAAGAAAGGCAACAAATTCTTCACTCAGATCTGCTGTAAACAAAGTCTCTCAACTGTCTCTTAAGGATCAGCCCAACATGTGATTGAACAAATTTAACAACTTCTTAATATAAATGAATATCCATCATTTAGAAATGTACAGACAGGTTCCAGAAATTACAAACACTTTAAGTATTCTTCTCGTCCTTGGGCAATTAATTGGTAATAACAAGCTTTGATTTCTCTGGCATTCGAAGGCCTTCATTCCCTCGAGCCTGGCACAGCTTGGTGGGTATCACCATTAAAAATGAGCCAAGCAGAGAAGGTGCATCAAGATGGCCCCACAGGACGCCTCCAAAAGGCTCTTGAATGCAGAGAAAAAGATGACCATTTGCAACATGAATCCTGCTGCCACGGCTATGGGTTGGAAACACAAGAACAGGGCATGAAATCATCAACAAAGATGCTAGGAGACTACTGATACACAGTTTGTCCATGTAATTACATCATCTAAGTTGTTTTCAAGATACTCAAACAACCTTGAACAGCTCCAGATAAACTAATTTAATCAAGTCTGAATGTTTTCATTTAATCAAAATAATATGTACCAAAACAAATTCCAAGCACCTAAATCCTCCTAATCCTTAAAAAATAGCCCATGCTTACCCAAACAAGCCCTCAGGATGGATGGATGGAAACTCCCTTCCTGTAACCAGTGCTGAAGAAAATGAAGATGGGTTTTGAAATGTTCCTCATCTGACTCTCCAAATTCCTCTTCTTTTACACCTCAGGGAACATGTGAGTTTCTGTCTCACTTTCCCTCACCACTCTTTGCCTTTTCAACTTACACGCTGTCAACTATTCAAGTGTAAGCACTATTCAATTACATCAACAGGCTCTCCAAGGAAAACCTTAAACTGCTCATTAGATTACAGTATTTCCACTGGATGCATCACGAATCAGCAGATTAATTTTGTCTCTGAGTGCTATACAGTTATCCAGCGTTATTACATGCCTCACAGCTGTTCGGGCATCTTTCATCCATGCTGTTACTAAGCACAGAGAGAGTGCGGGGACTAGCATGCGGTTCTACCAAACACAGTTTTTCCCAGGAAAGGAGATGGCATTCACTGAGGGAAAGCACTGCCACATGCAACATTCTTGTAATGTAGTGCCTTTAAACACCATCCGTTTTAGGTAAAAGTTGAAAGCCAGAGGCGCTACACATAGATCTGCGCGATCACTCCAAACTTATTGCTACTTTCTAATTGCAGAAACTCTATCAGTAACTCGCAAAAGGCACCGAGGCATGAGCTACAGTAATGGTATTATCCTCCAGTTTAGACTCTTCCCTATTCCCCTCGTTTATTTGTTTTTGCCACATCTTTCTTGTTGTCCATCAATTTTCTAACTACTTCATCCTAAACAGTTT